GATTCATACTGTTCACATCACCTGATGTGAATAAGGTGAATGGATTCCGAACCGATTCCAGGGCTCATGACATGAAAATCGAACGACTTGAATGCATGCGAGTGGATTCGTGAATCGATTCAAGTGCATAATCAAACGCATTCACTGGAATGCAGCCAGTGGGATACTGTCAAGGGAGAAACCCTTCGCTGCAGATGCGGCATGGAAGCAAGACCAACACGGAAACAGCGGTCATACCAGGCTAGCCACGCGTCCGTCAGGTAATTATTGTTGGCCTCGATAATGGTGGCTTGGTACGCCAGCAATTCTGGTGCTTGGTCCGGTGACGCATCGACCAGGACTCTGACGAACAAGGTAAACGCCTCTAACCACGTCGCCAAGTCATGGACTCGGCGCTTGGAGGGCTGGGGAGTGGGCAAGTGCTGCACCAACTCAAGTTGACAACGGACCTGCCGTTCACTAAAGACAACTGCAGGACATCGCTACTACCGGACATGGCTTCAGGCAACAGGTCTCCAAGTTCCACAAACTCACCTTGCGCTATGCGTCCCCTTAGCTGTGGAGAGATGGCGGGCAGTCCTGCAGAACCGGCCGAGCAAACCAAGGACATCAGAGCAGGTTGCCCCAGAGGCAGGGGAGCTGATTCTGGTGCTGGTGATGGAGCTATGGACGAGGTGGTTGGGACGACGATGTTCGATTCCAAGCGCTCCAGAAGGGGCTAGATAACATAGGTCAGGTCGTGCAAGGTGAGGGGAGCTGGCTGTGGCAGCCCAGGAGAAGCCATCTGGCCCGCGTTGGCGGAGCTGTGCCCATGGCTCACACGGGACCTCGCTCTCCCATTTTCTTGAGCATTCACAGCCCACGGCGGATACGGGTAGAGAGCTGGGGGACCGTCAGCTCCATCAGCGCTTGCACCCCGTGAGGTGCTCCGTGTCCTTGGCATGTCCGTCGCCAGGTAAAGGGAGTGCAGGAAAATGAAAATTGACAACTGACAGACAAACCAGTGAACACTCAGAAAGCAGAAATGACAAAGGTGTTTTCTCACTCTCGGACTGAAGGGCAATGATGGCTGGTGGCGAACTTCCTGATGGTGGTTGTGATGATGTTGCAGCATTGCTGCCGTGAAGGCACCGACAGCCAGGACCACACACTTTCTCGGCTTTCTTACATTTACACTGCTGTGTGGTAGGTACACTTCGACTTCTTGCACCCACAGCCACGTGTTAGTGCAAGGACACGTTGGCGCACGCTCTGAGTATGCTCCTCGGTATCGCACACAACCTGTAGCCTGTTACCGGGTCGTGGTCCAGCTATTGCCATCCTGTGCTGAATACACTATACGGCTGCTTTGAGCTTGGCGCCACATGCTTAGCACCCAGCATACACGCTTCCAGTGCAGACGAAGGGCAGAGAGAGATGGAACGCAATCATCCTCGACGAGTGTCCTTTGCCAGACTTCTGTGCGTACTGCATGCAGCCAGTTCTCGTGCTGTTCCAAGGCAGTATTGCCTGGCTGCTGCTTGTACAGGGACAATGGTCCATTCGCATCGAAAGCCGGACATGGCTTCAGGCATGGACTGCAGGGCATGCGCTAAGGATTAAAATGTGCTCTGACACAATGTCCTGCCAGTTGCAAAAATGGCCGGACATGTCCAAATTTTCACATCAAAACACAATGTGCAGGCTTTCTCGTTTTTATGTCCACTGCCTAAATCAACGCCATGACGCGCCTCAAGCTGGCAGAGCGATTCCATCTTCGCGAAAGCCATATGCTCTCTACATATTAGGTAAGCAATTTCAAACTTACGTCCGACCTTGGCTGCTGCTGCGTCGTCAAGTAAGGCTCGAGCGATTGGCGCATACTCTATTGGGTTTCCGCTTGACTGCTTCTTGCCAAATATTGCCATGGCACGGCGATGCATTTCAGAAGCAGCATGATCTTTGAAGGCTGACGTTTTCAGGTTCCTTGAGCCAACGACGAAGGAGTCAGAAAAATTCTTGCTGCTGCGAATTTTATCAACAAAACGGGAACACATCTTACACTTCAAATTTTCGACAACGCTACGATCTGAGGTACTGCGCTCATAGCTCAGCCAAACAGAAGTTGAAAGCTCCCTATCATACTCGGCGACCCACTTGTCACAAGTGGTCGTCTTGACTCCTCTGGGCTTCTTTCCAAGAGGAGCACCGGCATCAGCGGTGCTTGGCTTTCTCTTGTCAGACGACATCACTAATGACTATGAGACAAAGGATTGACGTGCTTTTTCTTTTTTGTGCTTTGCAAAAAAGTGCGCGGACACTTTGTCCGGATGTGTACAAAACATCCGGAAACTGACCGTAAACGGTCGGAAATTGTCCGATGTCCGACCGTTATTTCGCGCCCTGGGCTGGTAGAGTGGTGTGCAGGATGCGCATGCGCACCTATGGCAATGACATCATATTCAGATGATGCATGATCATCAGACTAGGCATCAGTGGTAGGTGTTCCATGTTCGTTAACAGGGCTTAGCGCATACGCCAAACCACCATTAAATTTCGCTAATTGCGCGCGACCATCACACATTCGCGAATATAAATCGCCGCGAACTGCTCGGTACATTGATTGTAGACAGTACAAGATCCAACTCAATAGATAAAATAACGAAAGTTTCTCATCGTGAACCAGCTCAATTCTTGAAAACGCAAAATTTGCACATCGTGAAAATTTATCGTTGTACAGTACTCGGTCTTTGACCGCTTTGTGGTGAGTCTAATCTATTCACCTCCCACGGCTTTATGAGCTGCATCTGCGCCTTTGATCTTTGAGAGTGGTGGCGTTCCTACGGGTGGGGAAAACCAGTCTAGCCGAGTCTGACGCGAGCCTTGAATCTTTTGATGATATCTCTACTAATTCCGTTCCACTTCATATCTCTGGCTTTTTAATCGGCTTCTTTTGTGTGTCTGCATGTGCATGCGTGCGTGTGCACGTGTATTCATGTGTGTGTGTGTGTGTGTGTGTGTGTGTGTGTGCGTGCGTGTGTGTGTGTGTGTGTGTGTGTGTGTGTGTGCGTGCGTGTGTGTGTGTGTGTGTGTGTTCATGTGTGTGCATACTTGTATTATATGTGTATGCGTTGTGCAGTTTCAACGCAGCTATTCCTTCCTTGATTACATCTCACATGGCTGTGAACTGAACTTTGTGGTAAGTGGTCTCTATCTATTTATCTCTCTCTCTCTCTCTCTCTCTCTCTCTCTCTCTCTCTCTCTCTCTCTCTCTCTCTCTCTCTCTCTCTCCCTATCTATCTCTATCTCTATCTATCTATCTCTCTCTATCTCTCTCTCTATCTATCTCTCTCTCTCTCTCTCTCTCTCTCTCTCTCTCTCTCTCTCTCTCTCTCTCTCTCTCTCTCTCTCACACACACACACACACACACACATACACACACCTCAGACATTAGACCTGCCCATCGCTGATGCGATGATAGCGAACAGCTATGTTAGACGTAGCAACTTGTGCTGGGATTACACCGTTCAACAGCTTGCAAGGCTGATGAATTGACCGCCACTAATTTTAGCCTGGTATTCACAACATGGCCCTGGCCTGGAGATCTGCAACTACAATCAGCTTCTACTTTGCAACATTAACGGATTAGTCCCCTTTGTCGATTGATGGATCAATCGGTAGATTCGGCTCTGTTTTTCTTTCCTTTCTTTCTTGTTTTGAATTGTATGTTTAACTCATTGGATTTCTTTGTATTCTGTATCCCATTATCGTTATCTTTTCCTCTAGTCCTCTCGCTTAGGATGAGCTTTCTTTTTTATGGCAGCTTAAACGAAGGCTATATACCTGCTTTATGCAGGTTGATGCCAACGCGAACAAGCAAAATAATAATAATAATAATAATAATTCACCACTCAGCTGATTGAAGTGGCTTTTTTGGCCAATGAATCCCTATTTTTCATTTTTTTTTCTTTCTTTTTTTTACACACACACACACCGTCTTACCCTATTCCTCTGCTTCATCCTATACAGGTTGGTGTCGACTTCACTGGCTCCAACGGTGATCCGCGCAAGTCCAACTCTCTACATTATCTTCCCCCGGGTGGTGGAGCAATGAATGAATACCAGCGGGCACTGTGGGCGGTTGGTTCTATTTGCGAGCAGTATGACACGTAAGGAATTGTTCGGTGTACTGCAGTGTCTTTCTCTTCCTCTCACCTAATAGCAGTACCCCCTCCCCTCCTCTGCGTTTAACAGAACCTCCCTCCACCTGTGCTTTTAGCAGTACCTCCTCCCTACCCTCCCTGTATTACTGAGGTGCAGTGGAACTTTTTTTGTTGTCTAAGGTGCCTCCAGAGACTATACAAATCGTGCTTGTAAAAGTACGTTGAGGTACGAACATGAAGCTGGCTCAGTAGTTACCGTAAAGTCTTGAATAGAAGCCGCCCTCGAATAGACGCCGCAATTTTGGGCCCATCAAATCACACATAAGCCTGGTTTTAGTGTTGACATACATAGAAATACCTGTCTTGTATAGAAGCCTGTCTCACATAGAAGCCTGCAGAATTTCACCAAGAAAGTCATAGAAGCCGCGGCTTTTACACAAGACTTTACGTTATGTGTAATCATGTCAGAATCAGCACAGTGAACTAACTACATGTAAGTTACTAGGACCAGTGTTAAAGCTCATGCTTGCACGGGCCTTGGAGCAAGAATTAGGAGATATAGTGTACTCCCACTCGAATTTCAGATATCCAATAGAGGTCACCTGTATTATAATACATGGTGGAGTTTGTCACTGAGTTCTTTTTTGAAGTACTGTAAAAGCCATACGTTGAGAATGATTGAGAATTGTTACCTTTGGTACACGTAAACCAGTCAATTTTAGGAATCGTTATATATACGCCTCGTCAGAATAATGGCTTTTACAGTAATGTCTCTGACTAGTGATGTGATTGCTTTTTTTACTACTGGCAGGGACAAGCTCTTCCCTGCGTTTGGTTTTGGTGCCAAGGTCCCACCA